AAATGTTAATTTTACTCTTTTAATTTAAAAAAAATTAAATTTTGTATAATTTTTCTCTCTTAGTTTTTTATATATTTTTTTAATTTTTTAACTATAAAAAATATATTTTTTAATCTTTTTATCCATAAATTTGTTAATTATAGTCAAATATATAGACCCTAAACTTTTAAATTAAAAGATAAAAAATATTCCTATATTGTAAATCGATCAATACTAACATTTTGGTTTCAAAAGCAAAAGGCAATGTTTTATTTTTGGAAGAAAAGAAAAAAGAAAAACGGAAAAGCAATAGGAATATAGGACAGATTAATCTTGAGGAGAGCAGTGCTAGGGGCACTCGCTTTTTGCACTCTCCGGCCATCACTTCCCCTTTCATTGGGCCACGTAACCTTCTTTAAAGCTTTCAGCGCCGCCTCTCGGCAACCAAAATAACGTGGCCCAATAAAAGAGAAAGTGTTGGCCGGAGAGTGCAGGAGGCGAGTGCCCCTAGCATTGCTCTCTTGAGGATGGGAGGTGGTGAATTATTGCCAAAGTCTTAACAATCCAGTGACAGTGAAACCTATTGCGGGCCCACTGATTGCGATGTACTGGGAAAGAGATGGTGAGTTAATGAGTAATGGTTTTTGTATAATTATTTTATTTTATTTTAATAATTTAATGTATTATTTAAATAATTAATTTTTTAATTTATATAAAATTTATAATATTAAATATATTTATTTATTTATTTATATATCAAAATTATATAAAAAATAATATTAAAAAAATTATCTCTGTAACATCATTCGTAAATTAATTATTGCCTGCTCTAACGATCCAGTGAAGCTAATTGCGAGCCCACTGATTTCTACATAGGGAAGAAATAGTGACTTGTTTGTTGCCAAGTCTAAGTGTCTAACAATCCAGTGAGGTTAATTGTGGGCTGAGTTATTGCTGTCCCTGACGACCAATACAGAAAAGAGTTGCCAGTTGCAGCTAGAGCTCCCCACCTGACATTGGCTTCGTTTGTGGAACCGTGGAAGATTCTCTTTTATTTATTTATTTATTTTATTATTATTATTATTATTTACAAAATACCCAAATTTATCATTAAAATTAACTAATAAGAATAAATCTATCCCTAAATAAAAGATAGAAATAACTTTACTTATAAAATTTTTAATTTGGATAAACTATTTTAAATTTAATATGTGACATTATTCAAAATATTAATAATAAATTTATTAACAATGTAATAAATTAATAAATTATTGACATCATTTGATATTACACGACTTTATTAATGAATTTTTTTTTTGTTTAAAAGTAAATTCGTCTTTATTGCTGAATCTTGTGAGTGAATTTGGGCATTCTATCCCTTTTTTGTTTACTTTCACTCCACAATAATTTATTTAAAAATATAAATTTATATTTTTTAATTAATTTTAACAAAAAATATTTTATAATTTAAATTATTTCAAATCATAAAATATGAACAATTAAATAGATAGGATTAAGTCCTTCATATTGAATAATATGAAAGATATGGAGACAAGATTTTAATTATTTTAATTAAGTTCTTACTATTGAGGTCATTTTCTTATTTAAAAGTTTATGTTTTATAGTCTAAAATAATTTAAGTTATAAAATAATATATTTTAATTTTAATTAATATTTTACATATTTTTAAATAATAAAATGACAAAATCTATTAGTATAGTGCAACGTAGCACGACACACACCACCAAACTAAACGATAAATTGTCTAATTTTCTTTCTGCCTTACTTTTTTTTTTTTTTGATAAATAACATATTTTTAAGGACAGAATTGCGTGGTTGTTTGGATGAGGACCAAGTCAGCTGTTCTTACATGGTGATATCGCTTTTAGATTATGGTTAAAAAGCTTTGCTTGGTGGAGAATATCTGCTGATATAGCTAGAAATTGTAGGGAGGCGTTTGAGCAGTCGACGTGAGAAATGGGTAAAGGACTTTGTAATTTGCTTGCACTTGGACCATTTGACTTGCTAGCTAATAGGAATGAAAAGAATTTTAGAAATATGTTCAGTAGATCTATAAAACATTCTATTAGCTGAAGGGTAGATTGAAGGGACGTCATCACTTTCATTTTTCTAGTTGGTTCTATGATCCACACTAGTTTGTATGAAGTGTGTTGCTGGGGAGGAAAATTATTGGAAATTTTGATTTTCTTTTATGTTCTTTTCTTTTATGTTCTTTTCTTGAACCTGCTTTCATTCTCCTCCCATAAGTTTTGAAGAATCAAATGCCAAATTTTCTGACAAGATTTTACGGCCGGTTAAGTATGTAGAATCAGATATGTATTGCTTTTCATCTGTTCGGTAAGGATTAATAACTTTTGTTAACTTTAGTGTAGTCCTTTGCCCATAGGAAGAGCTTCGAGTTGAGGAGGTTGAGTTTCTCATCAAGTCATCAAGATCACCGGCCGTGTCCATAGGAACCATGTGGAGGGCTCTGAAGCGCCGCTGTGGGTTAGGGGTGCGAAGCAAAGGGCAAATGCTGCCGGCCATTTGACGGAACTCAGGGACGGAGACGACGTTAAGCCACGTTTTGGAAACGCAACTGCAGATAAAGACCGTCTTTACAGGAAGTCTTGAGAAAATGTCCATCAAGATCGGAATCGGCAAGTCGCTGACCGTCGTCACCGGAATCCGTCTATTTCCTCTCCTCCGTTTCTCCATGGCAAACCCTAGCGTCCCAACGAAAAGCGCCAGGACGAGAAGAGCTGGTGATGTCTATCGTTTCGATTCTCCTAAATCGGTCGGAATCCGTAAGGGCAATGCCGAAAAACTAATTTTTCAGGGGCCATGAGTCCACTGTACTAAATTTTGGATTGGGCCTCTAAGCTTCTTCTCCAAACCTTCATTCAAATGAGAAACCTACCGTGGTTTTTTTTTTTTCCAAAACCGTCAACTGTAATAAATTTTATAAGTGAAACGAAAAGGCAAAACCATAAGTTAAGCCCCTAAACTTTAATTGATGCATATAAGCCTTTGAACTCTGCTATCAAAGCAATTAAGCCCTTCTTCTCACGCCAACTTAACTACCGTTTGGATTTACTCGCATGGCTTAACTGTCGTTTATGCTTGGATGGTGAAATATTGCCATGTCATGCTTATATGGCAAAGGAGTTAATATTTAAGTGGAATTTTTGACTTATTTGATCTTAATTTTTTGAATTAAATAAAATCTAAATAAAATAAAGTCATACCTATGGATGAAAATATTATTTAAATAAAGTCTTAAATTTAAATTTAATAAATAAAGTAATAGACATTAAAATTTTTTTATGTGATTCATTATAATTTAATTTTAAATTAGTTGAGATTAATATAACTTTTAAATTTTAAAAATTTAATAAAAAAATAGTATCACTTAAAATGATAAATTTATAATTACAT